CCTGCCTCTGCCTCCCGAGTGCTGGGATTAAAGGCGTGCGCCACCGCCGCCCGGCGATTTTCTTTCTTTTTAAAGAATGCTTTCGACTTCCCGACCGCCTGCCACCCAAATCAGTGCCCAGATTTACCAGAGATGCTCAGGCAGATCAGTGACTGCCCCTTCCCTGGTCAGTCGGTCTTCTTGGCTTTAGTGTCCTTGTCCCCAGCACAGGCAGAGGGAGAAGCAGGCTCACTGCAGTGCTCAGCAAATCCCCATGGCCTGGAATGACCATGGTTCAAATTCTACTTTCTCTGGAGCACCCACTCCTGGGGTCTGAAGCCTCTTCCCTGAGTCTTCATAGGCTTCCCGCTTCCACTTGGGAGAAATAACTTCTGAACAGGTTGCTTCTAGTAGCCCAGCTGCCTGGGTTCAGGGAGTGGTTTAACTAACAAACAAAGCAGGCAAGGTGGTTCATGTTCCTTCACCTGCTGCTACCTCCTGGGTCCCTGCCATTCCGAGGCTGGAGCTCTGCAGTCTGTGCTGGGTTCCGCTCCTCCAAAGCCACCAGCTTCCTTAAATGCTTGGGGGGGGGGGGTAATTAGCAAGTCCTCACCACCTGCAGTAGAGATCACTGGGAGGGGAAGCCTAGGATGCAGGAGGTGACTGCCAAGCCCTAGGTGTCCCTTTTCCCTGCTCAGTGCTCTGCAGAGCCACCAAAGTGGTCAAAGTCCCCCAGGTCATTGTTCTGTTTGTGGGGAGGTTCACAAGCCCAGCTGAGCTGGAAGTATATCCAGGTGTGGCTGGGAATGCAGTGGCCCATCAGAGCAGGTGTCCCGGTGAGCTCTAAGGCCAGAGCTTGGTCTACTGCCCACACTAGGGCAGGTGTGTCTCTGATGAGGCAGCTTTGCCTGGCCCAGTGCCAGAACCATTGAGTCCAAGCCTGGGCTTCTTCCTCGCCCTGCAGACATTTATTTGTTCTTTCTCTCCTGCCCAGAAACTCTTTTCCCTCCAGCTGAGCCCTTGAGGTCTTCATCACGCAGATAGGTCACAAGCATCGGATTCTTGCTAGGGTGCTGGTGCTAGACTGTTCTCAAAGTGAGGGAGATGCAGTCACCACGGAGAACTTCCTTGGTCAGCTACTCCATCCAGGCCCCTGACCTGGAACATCCAGGACTCTACCAGGGCCGCCATAGGCCAGGGCTGCCGGGAGGAGGCACCTGCAGAGAGGGAGCTGGAGCAGGGGCGGGTGTTGGCGTCTGTGAGGGCGGGCCACCACTGACAGTCTTCTGCCGCAGGTGCTCCAGCAGGCACGCGCTCACGGCCGGCTCCAGGACGCTGCAGGCGGGCAGCACGCGGGCCAGGCGCGCCAGACAGGCTCGGTAACCCTCGAGGTAGCTATCAAAGGGCCCTGTGGACAGAGGGGAACGTGAGGCTCAGGTGCTGAGCACCGTGCAAACTGCCAGGCACATGAGGAGCGGGGAGCTTGGTCACTCACCCGAGACTGCAGTGGAGTAAGGGGACGCAGGCTGCTCCTGCAGGAAGCGCACGGTCATTTCCAGGATGTCCGCCTTCTCCAGCTTCGAACAGCGAGAAGTCTGCGCCAGACCAGACAAGAGAGACACCCCATAATAAACCGGGCAGCTGGGCACCTCGCTCTTGTACCCAGGTGCTCGCCAGTCGCGGGGTCCACTCCACCTCTCAGATCCCACCAGGAGGTCTTCGGGTCCCCATGGAGCCCCGGGACCATGCTGGCCCACCCGCCTCACTGGGTGCCCCGGGACTCTCCACCTGGGTTTTCCGAGCTCCCAGACACACACCTCCGCACCCAGCAACGGCAATACCAGCCCCTTTAGCTGGCTCAGGCTCTGATTGATCCGTGCGCGCCGGCGCTTCTCCAGCAGCGGCTTCAAGCTCTGTCGGAAAGAGAATGGGCGCAGAGGCCGCACTTAGGAGGATCGCGATCGCCCACCCCGACACACCACGAGTCCCTATCCCCAGCAACTACCTTGCGCAGCTCCGCCGCGTCCCCTACTCTTCCAGGCAGTCTCATGCTCCGAGGGAAAGCGAAGAGCTCACAGGGTTCCGTACCTCGGGGTGGAGGATCCTTGTCCCTGTAGCAAGGCAGAGCAAAGAACGAAGCCAGGAACCAAGTTCAAAGCCTAACCTAAGCTCGCGCGCCAAAGAAGAGCGCGCCCAGCCAGAGGCGGGGCTTTAAGGAGGACTCCGCCCCCCGAGTCCCGCCAGCCGCCACTCCCACCTCCCGCCTTCGTCCCTGCACAGGGTGGGGCTGGAGAGGACGAGTCAGCGTTGTCCCCCAGAGATGCCATTCTGGCCTTAGAGTCCCATCTGTGGTGGGGTCGCGCGACGTGTGGGCGCTGACCTCCGGACAGGAAGGGTGGGTGGGGCCAGGCCTTGACTCCTCTCCAGCGCTCTGTGGCTTCATTCACGCCCACCGGGCTCCGTGCCCCTCCCCGGGCCGCAAGGGCTCTAGCGGCTGCAGAGCTACGGAGCCCGAACCTCAGGGAGGTCCAACAAGGGTTAAAAGGAGAGATTCGCTCCACCAACGGCTCCGAGCTGGACGTGCAAACCAGTCCTAGCAAGGTCCACTCTTTCTCTGGCCTGGCTGCCAGACCCAGGACTGAGGTCGCTGGACACCTAGCGCTAAACACTCCATAGGATTTAGGGCACCCCACTGACTGAAAAATCACCTGGTTCCCTGGCCCTAGGTTGTGAAAAGGAAACCTGAGCTCCACTCCCCAAGAAGAGGCAACCCAGGATCTTCGGGGTTCATTTTCAATTCCACGGCTCTGGGCTCCGGATTCCACCTGTGGGACAGCGGAGGTCACATGACAGGCGAGGGGGCGGTCCGGGGTGTGTGCCCCGGCTGCTCCACTCGGCCCCAGCGGGCCCAGACACGCCTCCACAACGCGTGGCCGTTGCTGCGGCAAACTGGCAGGCGTCCCCCGCCCATCTGCTGCGGGCTCCCCTCCCTGGGTCGGCTGGCGGGGCAACGGCCGGCTCCTCGGACCCTGTTGCAGCTTTGGGGAAGTCTCAGGCACCGAAAGCGAGGCCCGCACAACGAGAGCCAGTAGGAGGCGCTCGCGGGGCAGAGCTCTGTCCAGGGTCCTGGAAGGACCCCTCCTTCCTGCCTTTGAGCCCCATCCCTTTCTCTAGCTCGGAATCCCTGGAAGCGCTCCCACAGCAGGCATTCGAAAACGATAGTGCACCAGTAAGGGGACCCAGGGCAGCCTGGGCAGGAAAGCTCAGCCCTCCCATTTCTATCCACGGCATACAAGGATCCACGACCACCACCAAGGGGTTACTCTGTGCAAGCTCAGACCATTATTTCTTCACCTCCATCAACCCAACAGTCCTAATTATGAGGATTTGTCCCAGCGGGCCTTGGGATGTCTGATTCTCTGGTTCTCTCCCACAGGCTAGTCCAGCATGCCTATGAGCTAGCCCCTCACTGTGTAGACCGGACTGGCTTCGAACTCACAAAGATCAACCTGCTTCTGCCTTCTGAGTACTGGGACTAAAGACGTGTACCACCACATTCAGTCATTAATTATTCTTTAAGAGCTTGAAACGGGCCAGGTGGTGGTGGCAGTCAGGTCTCTGTGAGTTCAAGAACAGTCTGGTATACAGAGCGAGTTCCAAGACAGCCAAGGCTACACAGAGAAACCCTGTCTCAAAAATGAGAGAGAGAGAGAGAGAGAGAGAGAGAGAGAGAGAGAGCGAGAGAGAGAGAGAGCTTAAAAGGAACTTTAGGACTTTGTAGGGCTCAGTGGTTAAGAATAAGTATTGCTCTGGTAGAGGACCCAAGTTTGGTTCCCAGTACCCAGATAGTTCACAACTATCTGTAACTCCAGTTCTGGGGGGCATCCAATGCCCTCTTCTGGACTTCTCAGGCATAGCAATCATATGCACAAACCTACACATGGACACACACACACACACACACACACACACACACACA